TTTGTCTGAACAAAGTTTGGTTGAAGTTTCTGAAGGTGATGCAATGAAGGGGCATTGGGCAATTCCTATTGTGGCTGAGGTCTAATCCAGTGGTCACCAACCAGTGGGCCGGGGACCACTAGTGGTCTGTAAGAAAATTTTGCAGAGAAATGTCACCCCCCCAAAGCACCCCCCAGAGTAATTAATCCAGGCTGCGTGGGAACACAAAGCTTGTGTTGCTTGCATTGCGAACACCACGAGGTAGTGAGGGGAGGTGGGAAAGGGTGGAGAGGGGGAACTTGCCCCACTCACCCCACACACCTCACCTGGCCACTGGGCTGCTTCTTTCTGCTTCTTTCTTCTGCTTTTGGTTGCACGCAAGGAAAGCACCAAAAGCCTTTCTTTCTCTCCCCCAAACTCTCAGAAATGAGTCTCAGAAATGAGCAAGGCATCCTGCTCCAAGAGGCTGTGCTGGTGCAACAAGTCTCACAAAGACTCATTTCTGGCGGAGTTTGGGGGAGAGAACGAAAGACTTCTATTTGGGTAGGATTCAAATTTCTTAACAACTGGTTCTGTGGGCATGGCCTAATTCGTGAGTATGGCTTGGTGGTCATGTGACTGGCTGGGCATGACTTGTATGTAAATATTTTAAATATTTTTGTAAATATTGATTTTTTTATTAAAAAAGAGCAACTTTTACCCAAAATCGGGCAAAGCAGGCAGGCAGATTGAGTTGCTCACAGAATCACAGATCCATTCAGAGATCTATTTCTGCCATCGGCTACCTGAGTCTGTCACATAAAATTTGCTTGCAAGCAAACTCACAAAATTAACTCACAATACACCATGTATGTAAATATTGATTTTTTAATTAAAAAAGAGCAACTTTTATCCAAAATCAGGCAAAACAGGCAGGCAGATTGAGTTGCTCACAGAATCACAGATTCCTTCAGAGATCTACCTTTCTGCAATCTATTTCCTGAGTCTGCACTGAAAAATAGAAGCTTCGGTCCTAAGGAAGGTTCAGCTCTGCTTTTAGATTAGCTATAAAGCAAGAAATCCAACCATTTCCTGCTTTCTAGCTAATCAAAATCTCCCAGCACAGCAGAACAGCTGATAGTCAGAAACAAAAAAGGAAAAATAGCAACTTAGCAGGCAAGTTTGATGGTGCACATGCAGGTAAGGAGTGAGTGGGCGGGGTGAGCCAGTGGCGTGGTTTGCCTGTTCTCCAGCATGTAAAATCCCACCCCTGGTGAGAGTGCATTTTGTGTGCACGTGTAGACTATTTCCTAAACACCTCAGCTGCGCCGCCCGGACAGCTGACAAGCACTGTGTGGGGATTCACAGCATTTGAAAATCCTCTTCTTTCCTGCTTTTTCAACCTCAGCTGTGCCATGAAAAGCAGCTGAGGTTGAAAAAGCAGGAAATAAAGGATAGTCAAGAGCCCAGGTGGGCAGCTGGGCCAAACAGAGCAGCAGATACCGAACTGGTTCTTCAGAGCTGCCGGTTTTATAGAACCCACCACTGCTTCTGCTGTTTCTGCTGCTTTCCTTGCATGAATCTCTCTCTCCCTCCCACTGAGAACAGAGCTGGAGACGGTATCCTGCGATCCCAAATAAAGAATGATCAATCAGTAGGAAAATGGGGAGGGGAATTTTCCTGCAGACATTTTGGGGGATTTTCCCAGGGTCTCTGGTCTGCGGGATTTAAAATTATGAGTTTGGTAGTTCCTGAGGTCCAAAAGGTTGGTGGCCCCTGGTCTAATCCTACCTTTGTTGGATCTTGGGTGGGGGTATTTGCTTATGTATAGAGCTAGCTATCTCTTTATCTCTTAAGTGCTGATAACTTCTGTGGGCTATTAAGAAAGGTGGGGGCTGCTTTCAAAGAGCATGTTTCTCCATTTCTTATCCAGGGAAATATAATATTCTGCCTTTTTAATATTGTCACAATATTTCTTCTAGGAGAGGGATGGGTGCTAACTATCTACAATCCTTTTTTGCCAAAATATGTGGGTGACACACACATTTTTCTGGCAAAAGATTAAAATTGATCAGACTGTAGATGCAAAGGGGAAGGCATTGGTAGAAGTATCAGAAAAGGATTCCAACAGTTGCTTCTAAAAGGAGAGCTTTCAACCCATGAAGGTCTAGCAGCCAGGGCAAAAGTTCTGGAAAGAAATTTACAGTATCCAATTTTCTATGCCAATTATTTTCAGATGTTTCATGCCACTTCCTGTGAGCTTTCAGTCAGGTTTAAAGCAAACACAAGGCCCAAAATTCTATACAGCCATGATTTTGCTTTAAATAACTACAGGCTGCCCATTTTCAAGTGTCACTTCCTTGAGCCTGCCTTAGCTCTTAGTTTAGTGCATCCACTTTTTAAGGCCAAATTGAGGTTAGTGTGCAATCCAAGCTATTAATATTTTTAATCTATGTACAAATAGCCTCATACTAATGAGACCACCAGTGCAACATATCCTGATTCACTGGGCAGCTGGGCAGCATCATTTGAGAGTCACAATCAGGGCTTGGGATTTGGAGATCTCTTTTCTGCTATGTCTTCAGTGAGGGAATTGCCTGAGGAGCATGCCCCCTTCCGCATGGAATTGGCAGGGAGATGGTTGCTTGGGCCTTAGTGCCACAGAGCAAAAACCAACCTAGGAGAAGCTTTGGGTGAAGGTGGGTGAGGGGGATAACCTCAATCTGATTCCGAATGCGCTCTCTCTCTCTCTCTCTCTCTCTCCCTCCCTCCTTCCCTCTCCCCGATTTGGAGCTCACCATACATTGGGGGGGGGGGCAGCAAAAAGCTGGGAGCATCGTGTGAGGCCACTGCTGGAGCAGCAGTACTTTCGGGTGCTGTGCTCACCACCACTCGTCAGCTGGCTGCTCAATAGCTGATTGTCTGTGGATCAAGCCTCTGGTCAGTAGGAAAGGCTACTGCTGCTGTTTCAAGATGTCCAGGATGTCCGGGCTGCACTGACCACTTGGATGGATGAGACAGGACTGCTGTTGCTGCTGATGGTGCGAGGAGTCAGAACATGGCTCCAGAAGGGGGAGGGAGTTTTGTGGTTGTTAGAAACTGCAGGGCAAGAAGGCAGGGAGTGGGCTTCAATTTTTTTTAGCAAGGGGCTCTATGCCCTAATGACTGCCTGGGTGGGCATGGTTGGGTGGTCATGTGAATGGGTGGGAGTGGTGTTGAGTTGGCCATACCTAGTCACATGACCCCTAGCCATGCCTTCCCAGGTTTTGTTGCTCCTGGTGTTTTCTG